GTTTATTCCAAGCTTGTTTGTTTCCTTTCCAAGGCGTTGAACGCTGACCTCGATCCGGTCAAAGCTTTGCCCCCAGGCAAAGGCCTTCGCGCCTATCAATCACTGCAGCGTTGCCAACTATTGTTTTATTGACAAACCCGGGATCGTCTTGCACATACTTAAGAAGATCCGTGTATTATCCCGGAAAATGTAACCCCATGAAATGAATCGGATTTCGTGATACAAAGGCTCATTTTTATTGAAAATTGCTTGTGGATCCTTCAAATATTTTTGCGAAATCCGAATTGATTCTTGTAAGCTTTAAAATATGAAAGCACTGCTCTTGAAAAAAAAAAAATCAGTGAAAGCATAAGCAACAGCATATAACAGAGTCGAACTACGGTTACGATGAGCGATTTCTCTGGAAACAATTTTTCTCAAAAAACGAAACGTTTCAACAGAAAGAAATCATGGACAGAGAAATAATTGCTGGAATTACTTCCAGAGAATTTCACACTGCAGAACTTTCGAACACATACAATACTTCAATTACACGGAAGGTAATGGATATAAAATGCCGAATTTACCGAAGTACTTCATGTTTTGAGTACGGTAATTGGTTTATAATGCCGAATTTTCTCAGACACTTAATTTTAAGACGCAAAATGATATAAAAACGTTTCCCTGCAAATGATGATCAACCCAGTTTTCAGTGCATAGCATTAACAATCCAAGAATTACAGCAATTAAGTATTGTACAGTACTTATATACATAGTAAAATAAACGAGAATGCAATTCCATTCAATTTGTAAAAATTTTGTGAATCATCGGTGATGTTATCCAAGGATGATGAACGCAGGCAGATTTTTTAAGAAAATTTTTGGAGATTTTGAAGAAAATCTTCGTACTCAAGTATGACGAACATTCCAGTTTATATCCTTTTTTACAAACAAGAGGGTGAGTTACAGAATAAATTTGGTTCTCTCTACAATCTAAACCGGATTATAGAGTGATTTTAAAATTCCTTGATACACCAGAAAATCTGTCAAGTCAAACACCGTTTAAAATTTCTGTACTTTTCCCTAGCAACATTTTTTAAATTTCCAAACAACGTTTTGGATTTCGTTGACGCGAACAAAAATTTCCCATCGAGGAATTCTAGCTTGCAAATCTGTAAACTTGATCTGTATTCATGAAAGCCCGACTCGCAGGTGCAAATTCGTGATTTCTGCAAAATAAGTTACTACTAAAAATTTATTGGCAACTCTGACCGCCTCTTTCATTCCCTGTATCCCCGGGGGGATATCCTAGCAACTAATTCCAGTCATCAGTAATTTCCAGGGACGTTAAAGAAATCGATCACGCACCTTCTCCCCCACCTAGTGAAATCGAGTTTACTAAAAACACTGCGTCCTGTTTCTTTTCCCTCTGCCTTTTTTTCTTGTTCTTTTTTTTTTGTTTGGCCACGGAAACAAAAGCCCACAATCCGAAATCCATGCAAGGTCAGTTCCGTTTTCCCCTCTTTTCATGCTCTTCAGCAGGTCCTGCAATCATGTATATTCTTGCAGGGGTGAACGAATTCACAAGGTCTGCGTTTGAAATAGCCGACTTCCTTCTTTGTTCAGGGTGCGGTTGAGACTTGTATAAAAGCCTTGGTCACCTGACCAGAATCCGCATCAAAGCTGATTGAGCACTCTTACAGCAAACACATTTTCATTCGAGAGAAGAAAAAAACCCCTATTCAACAAACATGAACTCCGTGAGTATTTCTCGGAATTTTTCTTTGAAGTGGTGTTCAAACGAAACTTGTTCTATATTCGAATGCCGATTGATTCGGACTGTTTGATATATGTGCAAGAATTTTTCATCGGAAAGTGGATACCAAAGATTGTGGCAGCAATTTAAAGCAAGCATTCATTACTGATGATTCAAATAAATTTTGGATTCTACTACTGTATTGGGGTCACGGTGCAAAAACTGTATGATGCAGTTTTGCAATTTTGAGAAAATAGCCGGCACATTTTCAACACTTACGGTTTGAAAATAAAGGAAAAAGGTGTTCTGAAATAAAGAATTATGATTTGTTAATTTTATTTGAAAGACTTCTGTGAGCTTAATGTGAAAAATTGGTTTAACGCACAGAAGACAAAGTAAATAAAATACAGTGTCCTTTATCACGTGCAAGGTTTGAAACTGAACATTCTTACTTACGCCTCGATAAAAAACGAAGGAAAAGGGGGCTTCAAGTAAAGATTGGTAATCATTAATTTTATTTGAAATTGTGAAAAATTGGTTCAACCCAAAGACATCACAGAAAAGAAGACCCGAGGCAAGGGAAAATATCCTTAGACACGTCAGAGGTTTGAAATTGCAAGAATTTCTTCGGCTCTAAATAACCGGAGGAAAATCCGGCTTCTGCCTGCTGAGATTTATTTTCCTGCTGGTCGACACGAAAAGCTTGCATTTTTTTCTGAATTATGAGGGTTGACATTTTCTTTGACAATTAAATACGGATTATTCCGATTTCTTATACAGTATTTTGAAACTGTTTTCCCCAGGTTTTCGTCGCCCTTGTCCTGTCAGGCGTGGTGTGTGCTGCTGTCGCTGACCTGGGTTATGGTCACCACCGCAGTTACGCAAGCACCCCGTACCATGCTGACCAGGGTTACGGATATCATCACCGAGAACCCGCTTATGGCCACCACGCGGTTTTGACACCCGTGCACCCGACTTACAGCACGGGTTACAAACAACACCAGCACGTCGGTTATGGTCATCATGGCCATCATCAGCCAGGTAGACTATAACCGATAAAATATTCTACGTTGAGTTTTATAAAGTAGCCTCTGCTTGGAAGCTGTATAAAGAAAC